TTTGTGGGATGTGGGTGTCGCTGGCTGGCCAGCATTTCTTGCCCGTCCCTACTTGCCCTTGAAAAGGTGGTGGTGAGCTGCCACCTTGAACCGCTGCAGTCCACCTTAGGGAGGGAAATTGTTCACTCCGTTGTCAATGTGATGATCTCTCTTTTTAAATGTCATAGAATCATCGAGTAGTATCGTGAGTAAGCAGCTCTTTGACCCATCATGTCCACAGTAGTCATCAAATATCTATCCGCTCTAATCCCATTTTCCCTTCATCCATAGCATTGAATGCTATGGTGTTTCAAGTGCTGTAATGTTAGATTGGGAATCAGAGTTATAACCTTCTGCCTCAGGCAATGAACTGTGCCATAGCTGACAGCTAAACTCCAACCCTCATGAAGTTCATTCTCCTGTCCCTTAGTTTTCACTTCCCTACTTTCAAACTTGTCTTTCATCTCATTGTTATTTGTGACTTTGCTACTGTAAGCTGCTCCACTAACCTATCCAATAATGGACATTACACTTCAAAGGTGAACAAGGTGACTTGAGATATGCTTTGATGCTTTACCATAAATTTATGTACGTAGTAGTTTCAATAGTTAGGAAAAGAGTTAAATAAAATAAGACATAACGAGAACAGAGCAGGAAGATTTTAAGGTTTTTTATCTTTATTCATTCATGGGATGAGGGTGTCACTGGCTAGGCAGCATTTATTGCCCATCCCTAATTGCCCAGAGGCAGTTAAGTGTCAACCATTTTGTGGTAGGTCTGGAGTCACATGTAGGCCAGACCAGCTAAGGATGGCAGTTTCCTTCCCTAAAGGACATCAGTGAGCCAGATGGGTTTTTCCGACAATCGACAATAGATTCACGGTCATCATTAGACTCTTAATTCCAGATATTTATTGAATTCAAATTCCACCAGCTGCCATGGCGGGATTCAAACCCGGGTCCCCAGAACATTACTTGGGTCTCTGGATTAACAGTCCAGTGATAATACCACTAGACCATCGCCTCCCCTCTTTATGTTTTATTTAGGTTTAAAGTTGTTTATGTTCTTTTTGAGCTAGTGTTCTGGTCATACAGCTATCGATTTGAGAAGCTTTATTGTACTTTGAGTATCATAGAGGTGTTGGGGGGTTGGATTTCACGTACTCGTAGGTACAGTATTTGAAAATCATGCAGCCTGTGTTTTAAGTTTTGTAATTTACCTAAAAGGCCAATCTGATTAAAGGTAAATGTACTTGATCAGTTGGCCTCATGAGCTTACTTGTTTATGCATGAATCCCAAGGAGTGAGTGGTTGCAGATCGTTTGACTGTAACTCTAAAAGTAGGACCCATCCTGTAGTTCACAACCTCGCAACACTCAAGCAAATGACAATGGTTGCTTTTCTTCTGAATATTTCAGAATAATTTACTTCTAAAGAAAATTCATTGTTATTGGCTTCCCCTTGATTTGAGGATGATCTCAGTATAGGGTCACAGATTTATGCCATGCGCCTTCATATGACTGAAAGGGCCAATTCTCAACCAGAATATCTTTAGGTAGATAATGAGAAACACTGGTATTTCCTCGAAGACCAAGTTTGACTGCAATAAATGCAGCTGCAAGACTTTGAATATTCATGGCCAACTAGGAATGCATTTCTGCATTGGAAAGAATGGGTTCATACAATCATAGAATCCCTACAGCGTGGAAATCGACCCTCTGAAGAGCATACCATCCAGACCCATTCCCCTACCCCTGCATTTCCCAATGGCTAACCCACCTAACCTAAACATCCCTGGGCACTGTGGGCAGTTTAGCATTGCCAATCCACCTACCCTGCACATCTTTGGACTGTTGGAAGAAACCAGAGCACCCGGAGGAAATCCACACAGACACGGGGAGAATGTGCAAACTCCACACAGACAGTCGCCTGAGGATGGAATTGAACCTGGGTCCCTGGCGCTGTGAGGCAGCAGTGCTAACCACTGTACCACCCCAAGTGCCCTGTGCCTGTAGCAAATAGCAGAGGATGGTCTTGATGCATCAACCTTTGGATTATGGGCCATGCACACTCCTGGTGTGTTACTCTGCTTGGGTTGACATGTTGACAGAGAGAAAAAAAAAGGTCTCCGACTTGTCTTGCAAAAAAGGAAATCTAGTTCTTTCAGGTGAAATCTAGTTCTACAGCAGATGTATGAAATTTTTGACTGTAAATTTTAATGTAGAGTTACTAAGGGATTTGAAGAGAAGCACGGTGCAGATCACGAAACCAAAAAAAGTGTGTTTGTTGTTTGCTTTTCCTTATCTGTTTTAGTCTGGCAGGGTTGTATTTATTCTTGGAGCTGCTTGTCCAGCTAGGAGGTACGTTCTGCTGAGTTTTGTAAACTATAGGGAAGGAAATTTGAGCTCCTAATGCCCCCTGCTCAATCTGACATATGCACAGCTCAAGTTTCGCAGTGTGATTCTCTTGGTTCACTCCTATCCTTTAGAATGCTATCTTAATTGGGTGTTTACTCGACACTTTTCATGGACTCATTAATAAGTTAATGAATTGAATAGCATCACTGACAATTTAAATGCTCAACCTCCAGATTTTTCTTTCAGCACAGTACTCGTCATATGCAGTATGCTGCTATAGTTGA